TTTTTCTTATCCTCATGTTTCATTTTCTCAATAAGTTTCGAAAGGATTTATTCTTAACATATTTTATAATTCAATTTAATAACTCGCACGGTTGATCCTGTTTTCTTTTGGGCAGAATTTTTCGTTTTATTCATCATTTTACATCTAATTGTTATTTTCTTCCTTTAAATCTCTTTATTGAAATTTCTCTTTGAGTTACAATCCCATAAAACATTAATCAAGTTCATTCAGCGACTTTAATCTTACCTATCTCGATTTTACTCGGTCTCTCTATTCTCATTGTTTATTAACTATTTGAGCTATGTTGTAATTTTCTCGAGTTTCCATTATTTTTTTTTGCATCTAAGCAATTATCCGTTATTTGTAAGGCGCCATTACAATTCTACTTTTTAAATTATAACATTCCGCACAATACATTTCCATCCTAAGCAGTACTGTTAACAAAACAATGACCCTCATATGTTCCATTACCTGTTATTTAGGTTCTCATATTGATTATTGTTATAATCTTCCTAATCATCGCTAATTTTGTCATATTCCTCATTGTCATCCCGGTGTTATTCGTTGTCTTGTATCTCCTGAACCTCCCCTCCATATTATAGTACCTCCATGTGATGATATTTTGTGTAAATGTATCTCCAATTTCTTCATCTTTCGTGGATTCGGCATGCACGGTAGACATTTTTCCAAAAGTCTTCAAGTAATCTCATTTGTTCGAAGCCATACATTTTAGAAGATATTTATAATGTTCAAAATAATTCAGAACCAATGGAACATCACCTAAAATGAATATTAAATCACGCACAAATTGAAAAATCCTCTATATTTTCGGCTTTCGCTTTCTCCTCTTTTTTCCTTTCTCGGTATTTAATTTCTGTTTCACTAATAACTCCGTAGTATAGTTATAACCTTTTTTATCTTCTCCTTTTCATTTATTCAGTTATTTCCTTCTCTAGGTTCTCTGCATATTCCTATGTAGCAATCTGGAGTCTTTTGTTAAATATCATTATAACACCACTCATCTTTCCTGCGAAGTGGTGTCTTCTTTTACCAATTACATATTAATCATATGAATCTGTTCTCACAAGTTAATCCAGTAAAGTAACTTTATTTAAATTTCAACATTTGTGGATCGCCCTTTAAGTCCTGTAGGATATTCGCAACATCCGTGCTGCATGCCTCAATTTGACTCGCTGTCCTCGGCCCATGCTATTTTAATACTATTCCAGATTTCTCATTGTAAATAAGATCCTTTTCTCTTCTTATGCTATCATGTTGATAGAGGGAAATGACGTATAAAATACGTTGCAATAGTGCTATATATAACTGTATATTTCTCGTAGCAACGAAAGAAATGGTATCAAAATCCTGGTTAGATGGAGGGACACAATAGATTCCCCTTTTCCTGATGTTATGAAAATAGCATAACTTCTGTATATCCAGCATTACATGAATCACTGTTGGGACATTTGTACAAAAAAGAGGAGAAATAAAAACATGGAATAAGTCTTGCTGTAGATCTCACATTACCTCCACCTTAAAAATATAAGAATGTGTTCATTTTATCATATGTATTATTTCATTCACTTTTGTGAAATAAAGTAACATGGATTATCAATTTGAAAATTCGAAGGCAAAAAAAAAAAAAGGTAAAATACACTATTCAGATTCATTATATTTTTTTTCTTCTATACAATCCCATGTTACACGTTGTCTTCTTTGCAGCTTCATGTATGTTCACGCA